GAGGAGCAGGAGGAGTAGTAGTAGTGGTAATAAGATTAATAGTAGTTGTATTCGCGAGGGTTGCATTTTGGCCCTACTTTTTCTAGCCTGCTCTGCCAGTTGTTATGGCCCATCGTATTCTTAGGGTTCAGTCTTCTGGGTCGAGGTTTTTACATTTTGGGGTCGTTAAGTTTCAAGTTGCAGTTTTTTGGGCTTGGGCTTTTTAGGGTTTAAGGTTTTTAGGGTTCAGTGTGTTTAGGGTTTAGGGGTTTTAGGGTCAGGGTTTTTGGGGTGTTGAGGGTTTGGAGTTCTTGGGGTTTTCAGGTTTAGGATCTATGGTTTGAAGGGTTTGGTTAAGGTCTTTAGGGTTTCGGAGTTTTGCGTTCAAGGTTTTTACGTCTGGGCTTGTTAAAATTGAGGACCAAGGTTTTAAGCGTTTACGGTTCTTTGGGTTAGGGGTTATTCGGGTTTTTAGACTCAGGGCTCTTAGGGTTTGGATTTGGGTTTTACGTTTTAGGTTTTTTAGGGTTTGGGGTTGTTAAGTTTTGTTGTTCTAGGTTTTTAAGGTTGGGAGTTTTTGTGGTTGAGGTTTTGAGTGCTTAGGGCTTTAAGGTTTTTAGGGTTCTTAAGGTTTTTAGGGTCTGATACTTTTAAGTTTTGCGGTTTTTAGTGTTTAGGTTTTTGGAGGGTTGTTGAGGGTTTAGGGCTCTTTTCTAGGGTTTGGGGCTTTCAGTGTCTTTAGACTTCAGGGTTCTTGCTGTTTAGACTTTGGTTCTTAGGGCTCGTTAGGGTTTGTAGGGTTTAGGGCATTTAAAGTTTTTTGGGTTGAGAATTTTCATGGTTTAGGTTTTTTAGGGTTTCAAGTTTTCAGAGTTTTTAGGAGTGTTTTAGGGGTGTATAGGATGAGCCAGCAAGAGGACTGCGCCTGCCATTGATTTTTGAAGCTTTCGGCATTGTGTGCAGGCAAGGTGCTACCCCCGCCCTTCGTCGTGGTCGTGTTCGTGTTCGTGGTCGTGGTCGTGGTCGTCGTCGTTAGTGGAGTAGTTGGTAGAGTAGTTTTTTTTCTTATTAGTAGTAGTAGAAGTAGTAGTAGTAGTAGAAGAAGTAGTAGTAGTGGTAGTAGTAGTAGTAGTAGTAGTAAGTAGTAGTAAGTAGTAGTAAGTAGTAGTAAGTAGTAGTAAGTAGTAGCAGTAGTAGTAGTAGCAGTAGTAGTAGTAGTAGTAGTAGGCGGCACCTGGCAGGGAAAAACCACCCAAACACGACAAGCACGTGCTGCAGGCACTGAAAGTGCTGGCAGGCAGTGAATTTGAACGCCGGTGAAATCTTGTATCAACCCGTTTTTGGACACAAATTTAGTATTAATTGTATTAATAGTAGTAACTAGTAGTGACTAGTAGGAGTAAGAGTAAGAGTAAAAGTTAGAGTAAGAGTAATAGTAACCGCCACTGCCATTGCCACCACTACCACCACCACGCACTGTTGTCAGAGTTGCCGCTACTGCTGCTGTTGCCATTGCTACCAACGCGACAGCGATTCTAGCGCCACTATTACCAGTGACAGCGGGGCCGACAACGCCGACTACTGCGACAACTGATTGTAGTACTCCTGCTACTACTATTATTTGCACTACTATAAATGCTGCTGCTACTGCTGCTGGTGCTGCTACTACTACTACTACTGCTTCTGCTGCTGCTGCTGTGTTTGCTGCTGGCGCTGCCGCCAGGGTCGCCATCACTCCACCGCTGGTTGGAGTTGTGTTCGAATGCAAGCACCGCCAAAAGAGTCTAGGAGTCCAGCTGTTGCTGAGGTGGTGCCCCTGCTAACTTGGGCGAACGCAACAGCCTGGATCTTGCTGGCCCTACCGCACATGGCAAGGCCTTTGAGTAAAAGAACGAAATAAATTGTCGTTTTTGCTGCGGCTGCAGACGCTTGTGCGAAGGCAGGCCGTGCATGACAGTATTTGCCAGTAGAATGTTCAGCGATCCGTAGCGGCATTTTAAGATGCAGGACCTGATGGAATGTAAGCATTGTACCCAAAGCTCCGCAGGCACATAAAAGACCGATCGGCAGACGTCAGCAAAGGAGGGGACGCCAGGGCTCATGCAGAAGGGGCTTTGCGTGGAGGACCTAACGAAATTACACCTTGCAGGATGAAAGTTGAAAAGCTGGAAAGACATGTTGGTCCTGTTGATCTTGTTTGCGCGGCTGTTTCAGTTTTAGCTCCGTACATGACCCGTACATTTGTTGGAGGTTGTCTTGCCTGAGCCAAATGGAAGCTGTTCCCGCGTCGCTCCGGATCAGCCATGCGTTGTGCATTGAGCCGCCCAGCACAAGGTTGCTGAACAAGTACGGGATTCCAAAGGCACCGAATCTGCGCGAAAGACCTGCCGGAATCGCTCAGCAAGGACAGTGTTTATTAAAAACATGTGTCAACTCTGTCCGCTGTGACACGGTAGCTGAAACGTGCTCTTTGCTTCCTCTCCGTGTCTCTCGCATAGATAGTGCGCCCATGTGAGACATGTCAGGGATCAAGCTCGGGTGCCATTTTTGTGTAAGCGTGTGCAGAAGTGCCTGTCGAGGCGAATCGCCCCGAGAACACTCAGTTTCTACTTCACCGTCTGGGGCCGCCTGCCGTGACCAACCTAGCAGCCCGCAGTGAGACGAACACCCAAGGTATTTCGGACAGATTCGCAGATGGCGCTTGAGCTCCGAGTTAAGACTCTGAGAGTTGTACGGAGGATCCAGGAAAGCGTTCCAAGTCCTGGGTAGCTTGCATGACATTTTCGAAGAATGAGCTGCTGTCAATATTCGGCTTCCTAAGGGACCCTAATGTTGGACGTAGGGGTTGTCCGTAGATGCTAGTCTAGTCCCTACTAATGAACCCATGTCCGCTAATCATCCGGTCACTGTTGCTTGTAGCTCATATGCAGTTCTGAGTTTGAGCAAAAGCTCGGCAGACTAGCGCACATCTATCTCCCGGTCTCAGCCCGAGTTTGACTGCTTTGGATCTCATAGGAACAGGTTGAAAGGCACAGAGCACTTCAAAACTTCACAGCTGGCTAAGTGCTGGCTAACACTTCTGGCTAGACTGCGGAGATGGCTCTCTTGAGCGTCTCTGCCCATTGCATATTTGCGTTGTGTGCCATGGGGCTATGTCTATACGTCTCAAACACCTCACAGTACTGTTTTCATGACTTACCCCGCACACATGCGGCAAGTAGTTTTGCAAAATGCACGTTTCTGCGTTAGTCTTTAGGCGCTCCATTGCAAGTCAGTCTGTGAGTCGGAAGCTTTTCGTTCAGGAAAGTTTGACCAATTCATTAACCAACTGCTCTATTTGGAAGGATCGTCTTGGAGATGAATAAGGGCACGGGCAGCAAGTACGACAGGCTTTACCTTCGTGGCTTGTCTGACCCGCTGTAGCTCCTGACGTCTCCACGATTCTTTGCTTGTGACTCACAGGTCTGCCGGCCTTTGGAGCATCCCTATACTCCCCAAGTGACGAGATGAACGGATTTCGTTAACAACTTCGTAATTCGTGAAGTGCCCAACAGTCCAGGTGAAGGTGTGAACCCCAAGCACGCAAGCCATGCAGCTGATGTTGATAAGCCTGTCGCATGGTGAGAGGTGTCTGCTTGTTGTGACCTTGCGGTGCTGCTGAAGAGGCTGGTGCACAACATGGGGCTGGTACATTCGTCCGTTTATGTTGGGCCGACGGATTGACTTTTGCATGCAGCCGTGATGATAGGCATTGGAATGGCCGGATCTTCTCGTAGCTCATGCTCCTGTGGAGTTAGCTATCTTCAAGATGCAACTGCTGTCGTTGTGAGGCTACCACGCCATGCTAGGTTCTAGACTGTGCCCTGGCACAGGCCCGTCATTGCCTCAAATGCGGTTCAAGTGAACAAACATTGACAGCATCGTTGCATTCAGGTCCTAAGGAGTTTGTAGTTCACAATTTTAAATTTGCACGCTGCTGATGTTCCGTCTTCTGCTTCTTCTGCCTACTGTGGGGAGCTTCAGCGACTCATGGGAACGGAGCAGCAGCTGGCAGACTTCCACTTTACTATGTGCGTCTGCATCTTTCGGCGGGCGCTGTGCTTTGTGTGCCACCTTTTGGCCGCATTTTTGGACAGTTTTGTCGTACAGAAAGAAAGCTTCCTGCTTGCCTTGTGCCTATTTGTTATGCCCTGTGCAATTGTATGATATTGTTCGACTCTCCGCCTTCCCTGAGCGACGTACTGCAAGGAGCTGTCTTGCTTGACCTCGTGACCGCCCCTGTTTTCAAGGTGGGCGTTTGGGGTTGACCGCACTCTTGTTGATATGTAGCATCAAAGGTCTCGGACCCACCTCGTTTTCTGGTCAGTGCCTCAGAAAGGTATGTTTCGTGTTTGTGGGTAGTACTGACTGAAGCTTATGTGACAAGCAGCTTGCCCAAGCAGGCCGTTGCTCATATTCGATTATCATTCGTCCTGATATCATTCCACACCTGGTCTTAGCAAGAGTGAGCCCTGCAAAGGGTTGTCATTGAACAGTCATGGTCGCGATGTTCTCTTCGGCACTGGGCCTGGCACCAGCCAGTCCACAGCATGCAAAGATGTTGCCTGGGAGCGGCTTCGGCTTCCCATCTCATTCTTGGCCTCTCGGAAGGACTGCTCTTTTCTCAGGTGAGCTGAGAGCTGAGAGCGTGAGAGCGGGGCAGGCGTCGCGGCGAGACTGTTTGCAGGAAGGTGAACGTCTTGGGTGTCGCCGGCTTCACCAGCTTCGCGGTGGGCTTTTGGCTTCGAGCTCGCCTGACACGCTCCATGGCACCGAGAGCCCGCCGTTCTCTCCATGCCTTACGTGCCCATGCTAGTGCTCCAAGCTGGGAAGAGCTTCAGAGCGACTTGGTAGAAGATGGCCAACTCTTGGAGAGGAGAGGTTCATCAAATTCAATTGATAGGTGAGGCTGGGAGGCCCACGCGGCGCCTCTTCGAATCGGATACGCGTCTCTTCGAGTCAGAAATGCCTGAGCTGAAGTTCTGGCACGATGCCGCCGGCTGGTGCCCGCACTGCACTTGGGCAGCAAGTGAGCTTCCAGATTGTGATGCTTGGGGGATGAGTATTGCTTCGCATCTGGCAGGCATGGTCTCCTGGGTGGTGCTGGAAGAGATGCGGATCCCTCATGTAATGGAGACTACACCGCTCAGGGCCTACCTGAGGCGAACTCGGGGAGTGTAATCGCTCGGCGAGTGTTATGGAATTGCAAAGGTCCCTTGCATGGTGCGGGGGCTGGGCTGTGGGCAGTACGTTCTGTCCTGCAGGGAGCTTTGTTCTTCCCGCAGTCGCAGGCCAGGTGAGAAGAAGCGCCAACGTCTAGTACCAGTGATCCAGCTTCTTGATCGAGAGCCTTGGAGTCTTTGGGCGAGCCATGAAGTTGTAGAACTTGAGCTATCCGGCTGAAGACGTCTGCTTACATGCAGCATAGTTTATGAGAAGCTCGTCTTGAAGACAGTTTGTTCCTGAGGAAAAGAGCCGTGGAAGCTCCTGGGCCTTTCAATCAGCAATGCGAGACGTGGGCCGCGGTGAGCAGGTCGATCCCTTTGCAAACTGCATGATAAGCAGAGCTTCTAAATTGATCCTTTCATCCTTGTTTAGCCCGCGCCAAGGTCTGCCAAATGCTTGCAAAGCGGTTTCCGGAGAAGAGCCTTTGGCCAAAAGAAACCTCTCAGCGAGCTGCAGCTGAATCTCAGCTGTCGCATTTTTCGAATTTGCAAAAGGCCTGCCTGCCTGCTACAAATTTGGTGAACGCATCTGGGTAACCAAACTGTGAGGCACACTCCGCCTACAAAAGGCTGCCGGGAGGCAAGCCCACGTGGGGTGTGTCCCCATCCCATGGCCACATGGCATAACGGCCTGTTGAGCGAACTTAGCCTGCTATGCTTGGCCATCACAACTTTGTGAGCATGTAATCGAATTGTGCTCTCACTGGTCGACTTGTGCCTTCAACCATCATTTCTTTGCATTCCATGCGCCGATTCGGCTGTCAAGCTCCTCCAGATGTCAACGCTGGCACACCTACTCGCGACATAGGCGCAATAGCCTGCCACTCACCAGGGGTAGGCATTTGTTCATTCGCCCTCTCGTGTCGCATTCTTGCGAGGGGTCTGAACATGCTCTGAGCTGAGGCAAGAAGGACCAGGAGCGGAAGGCTTGTTTTGAGTTTTGTGAGGGACATTTGTGGCAGCTTGTGGTGAAAAGTAGCTGCCTAGCCCGGAGGAGCGCCTAATTTCTGCCCTCAGCGACCTGGAAGATGCCTTGGTCAGTCAAAGCCGCAAGGCCCGAAGTTCAAAGCGGCTCTGGAGCCATTTGTGCTCTGTTGTGCTCTGCAGGGTGGGCCGTTCCTGGCCGGTTCACGACCTCACATGGTGGACCTCATGTCACTTGGATGCCCACTTTTTGTTGAGATGCGCAGATGGGCTCTGTGTTTCAGGTTGCCAACTAAGGCTTCTGCCTATGTTGGAGCGAGTGGAAGCGCTATTGCTGCACCCCTTTTTGGCTTCTGGACCCAAGCTGGCAGACTGGACACATGTATACAAGATGCTCTCGGCCGGGCGACATCCGGGAACCTGCTCCTTCGGTGAGTTGTGCAGTGATCCTGAAACGCTCCTTGCTATCTCATTGCGTGAGGATCCAGGCCGCACACCGGTCATCTCAGTGCAGAACATCCGATCCATCCTGAATCCTCAACTCTCTGTGCTGGAGGCTGCTCAGTCTGCTGCTCAACATTCGCAAGAAGCATGCCGGGAGGCGGCTGCGCGCGTCTGTGCCAAACACGCGGCTGTTGTCGCGTTCGCGTGTTGCGGTCGAGGTTGTGGCCGTGGAAGGGAGGAGGCGCGGAAGGCCGCAAATGATTTTCGCGGAAGCCCCGCTGTGGACCTCACATTGCGGCAGGTTGTGGCAAGCCTGCTTCGGTGCACGTTCCCATCAGAGCTAGAGTCAGCTGCCCGGCGTGCCACCAGAGGCATGGAACGTGAGGGCGCGGAGCTGGCGGCTTTGCGATTTCTCTCCCAGAACATTGGGGTGCCGAGAGACATGGCGCCAGCACCGGCTGCCGCTCTCCGGACACGCCTGCTGCTGCACCTCGCTGCCCTGGAGGGCCGGGGCCCTGGCAAGGGCCTCGCGCGGCCGCCTCGTCAGGCTCGTCTTAGCCGCCCTGAAGCTGAGCCCCAGGGCCTTGCCCGCAGCAGAAGTGGTAGACAGAGGTCCAGCTTCGGTCGTTAGACCTCGGAAAAGAGTGTCTGTGCTGCAACGCCATGCTGTCAGAACGGGCGCGCATCACGTGATCAAGCTATGCTTATGACTCCAGATACTTGCAAAGCTGTGTGACGGCCCTGCCGAGTTCATAGCCTTGACCACGAATTTCTCCTACATCGGAGCTGCGATCCCAGAAGCACAGTTGTACAAGTCCTCAGTCTGGATGTGAAGCGAATCTCCAGCTTGAATGCAAAGCGGATCTCTCCTTCAGATCTGTTTCTCCTGCTGCTAAGATTGCTAAGGCTCTGCACTTTTTACCAGCTTCTCTCAATACCGCCATCTTCAGCAGCAGTCCTGCGACGCCCTTGGCAGAACGTTGCCCAGTGAAATTTGCACGTTGTAGGATCGCAGGCATTGTTACCGGCGTTGATACAGTGGACGAAGATCCTTTTTGCGCCTGCACGCTTGTGGTTCCCAATATCTCGGCATTTCCAAGGTGTTCACATTGCTGCTTCAAGCTATGTTCCTCACAGCTGACTCAGGTGTGGTGCCCGCTTGTGGGATATGCTGTGAGACAGTATGATAGATTACTTGCACTGTTGGCTTCTGCCTTGAAGCAGGGTAGGCATGCTAAATGATCCCGCAGCCATGCCCATCTGAAGACCCATGTCATCCATGCCATCCTCGAGCGTGACCAGGCGAGCATGGCGAAGTTGCTGCGTGAATCTCAGCAGATGCCTCCGTCCTTCTGCATATCGATGCGTAAAGTGTGCCAATTGGTGTGGTGCAGCAGCTGAGCTGTGACTGAGGTGGCCTCCCAAAGATGGAAGGCGGAAGTCCTTAGTCCAAGATCTGAGAGTTGCGTGACAAGGGCAACAGGTCCAGAGTAGGACACAGATTACATGCGTAGACCTTGCAAGTGCTTTACTCATGTTGTCAGTACTCGAAGGAAGGCTTTCTGTGGCTTGCCGATGTATCACAGGGCTTTGAGAGTGCTAACCATCCCCTGCCCTATTCATATCTCTCAGTGACATGAGATTCCTGGGCAGGCACTGAGCGTGAGCCTCTCTGTGGTCATAGCCTCAGCATTTGACATGAGGTATTTGCTGGGAAGGATGTGTGTTGTTCCGGAGTTTTGCAAATGCACGTGGCAGTCTGACTTAGGGTGCCATTGCCATCAGAAGGGCCAGCCATTGTTTTTAGCAATTAGGTTGGGGTGCTGCTGATTGCCGAGCCCTGGAATGACTCCAAAGGCCGGGGCAAACCAGGCATCAGAGCTGCAGTGCATGCTGAGCTAGCTGCAAGGGTCGACGATGACTCAGCAGAGGCCAAAGCCATCCAGCTCAAGACTCAAGAGTTTCTTGGTTTTGCAGATTGCGCGTGCAGGATCCTGGGTGTTCTGCTTTCGCTCTTCTCAGCCCTTGGCACGGCAATCTACCAGGCTGATCAACGCTGCAAGAGCGAGAGACAGCTGGTTGCCTGGCAGGTCTACTTCAAGAAGACATTTGGCGATTCCATGCGCCCGGAGGAGGTCTCACAACCCGAAGCAACAGAAGCAGATGACGTGTATGCTGTGTCTGCATAAATGTCGTGCTTCTGGAAAGCTTGGCTTCAGCAGTTGAGAGCAGCACCACCTGCAGGAAGGGTGAAATGCTCACGGTTGCACCATAAGAGCCCACGGAATGACTTTTCATAACATATCTACCTTGATCAGCAGGTACACAACACCGGAAGGTGGCGCTTGTAATGAACAACACAACAACTCCATGTCCTTACAAGACTCAGCTTCGTAGAGCATATATTCATTGTCTTGACATATACACTGCCATGTTTGATTTCCACTCCTTGCACTCTCTGAGAGAGTCCAGCTGCTGGCTCTGCAGACACGACTTTCAGATGCGAGACGGGCCTGCAGCTATTTTGAAATCCCTGGTCACAGACTTCAGGCAGCGGTCATGTGGCCAGCCATCACCATGCGGTTGAGGGTAAGGCCAAATGCGGACTGAGTTGCTCAATGTAGGTTTGCATTGGTGCCATGTGCTTTGTAGCATTGGTGACCGCTTTATGTTCCTTTGCTCAAGCTGGGTAGCAACCAGAAAACACGGCGAAGACGCCTGCTTAAAACACAATGCCGGCCATGTCGAAGATCGCCACCGTGGCTGCAGGTGCAGCGGCCGTCTCTGCGGCCTCAGCCTTCGTCGTGCCCAGCGCCCCCAGCCGTGCCGTCCAGGCATCTTCCCTGCGCGGAGCGGAGCGAGCGCGGTCCTCCTCCTCCGTGTCTGGCCTTGGCCTCAGCCTGGGCGCGGTCGGCTTGGCTGCCGCACTCGCGCGCCCTGCTTCGAAGACCTCCAAGCCCGTGGCCTGCAGCGCCTACGATGCCTCCAATGAGATCGGAGCTTGCGATCCTTTGCTCTTTTGGGACCCCGTCGGCTATTGCCAGGATGGCTGCACCAAGGAGGACTTCGACCGTCGCCGTGCTGTTGAGCTTAAGCATGGACGTCTCTGTATGGTGGCAACCATTGGCATGGTTTGGCCAGACATCTTTGGCAAGTTCGATGGCTACCTCTCGCCCTCGCAGAACCTGAAGTTTGCCGACGTTCCCTCAGGCATTGCGGCTGTCTCCAAGGTGCCTCTGGAAGGCTGGTTGCAGATCCTCTTGGTGGCTGGCCTCATTGAGACCCAGCTCCTGAAGGCAAGGCACGAAGCGTGCAGTCAGACTAAGCCCTGCAATCCCTGCACTGTTAGGCGTGGTTGATGTGTTCCCGTGTGTCCTGAGGACCAGTCCTTCGGTGGTTTCGGCTACGCCAAGTACGGAGCAGAGCCGGGCAATTTCGGCACGGGCTACTGGGGAAGGAAGATCCAGGACCCCGCAGAGCGCAAGCTGAAGCTGACCACGGAGCTTAACAACGGCCGTCTGGCCATGATTGCCATGGCAGGGATGCTGATTCAGAATGGCCTGACGGGTCAGTCACCCATTGAACAGCTGACTGCAGGCCACATCTCGCCATTCAACGATGGCCAGGGCTACTTCGCTTTTGATCCTTCCCAGGAGCTCGGCGCCTGCCCTCCCCTTGGCTATTGGGACCCCTTCGGGATGATGGCTTTTCAGGATGAGGAGAAGTTCCGACGCAACCGTGAATTGGAATTGAAGCATGGAAGGATCTGCATGGTTGCCACCATCGGCATGATCGTGCCCGACCTCTTTGGCCGCTTTGGTGGCTACCTCTCGCCATCCATGAACCTGAAGTTCTCCGACGTCCCTTGCACCATTGAGGCCATCTACAAGGTCCCAACCTTCGGCTGGCTGCAGGTCTTTGCCCTGGCAGGTGCCATCGAGGCCAAGAACCAGGCCTTCCCAGAGAACTACGGCTATCCTCCCTTCTGGGGCCGCATCAACACTCTGGAGCCCGAAGAGAAGCAGAAGAAGTTGCTGGCAGAAATCAACAACGGCCGTCTTGCCATGGTTGCCATGGCTGCCATTGTTGCGCAGAACGGGGCGACTGGCCAGTCCTTGGTAGAGCAGTTCACCACTGGCAATCTGAACCCGTTCGTGGGCGGATACGCGCATCAGGAGGCAGGAGACCGCTTAGCACTGCGGGCTGAGTTCGGCTCCGCCGCGGGCAAGTCGACTGCACTCCCCTGGGACTCCGTCCCCGAGGGCCTCACCAACGACCTCTTCAACCCGACCTACGTGGGTGATGCCGGCTTCGACCCAGCAGGCCACCGCTCTGATCAGCGATTTATACTAATCTGGTTTTGCCTTCTTTCAACCAGCGTTGTCACACGTCCTACGCCTGCTTGCAGAAAGCACTGCTAGTCACAGGATAGCTTGCATTCGCAATCAAGATCAGTGAAGCCCTTCCCCTCATGAATGTTCACCTTTTTCATTTTTGATGTCTTCAAAAGATCACGTGCCAGGCTTTGCCAAGAACCAGCGTCTGCTGCCGTGGTACCGTGAGGCCGAGCTGGCCCATGGACGTGTTTGCATGCTGGCCGTGCTCGGCTACACCGAAGCCTGGCTGGGAAGTTCTGCTGATGTATGTTGCTGCAGTTGCTAGCTACTAGTTGGCAGCATGTGCAAAGGCAACATAGCCAACCTTCCAAGGTGCAGACTTCGGGTGCCAAGTTCGAGCCTTTCATCACCCGCTACCCGACTGATTCGGCCGACCCCCTGAAGGCGGCTACTCAGGCATTGGGCTGCGATTTTCCCTAAACGTTAGCCCGTTTCTGTTCCCACAAGGGCTGTGCTTCAGGTGCCCATTGTCGGCTGGCTGCAGATCATTGTGGTGATCGCTCTCTCCGAGCTGTGGCGCTACGAGAATGCCTCTTGGATCGAGCGGGTGAGTGTGCTTCAGCTTTGGTTTCTTGCTTTCAGAGCTCATGATGGCTCTGTCACAAGGTCATCAGCAAGTACTCTCAGGGAGTCCAGCCTGGAGACCTTGGCTGGAACCCCACCGCTCCAGTGAGCAGCCCCCGCCCCAAGTGGTCCTGGGCTGAGCTTGGGAGGTACATCCGAGGCTGTGAGGCAATGAAGGTCTTCACATATCTTCGCCGAGGTTCGGCCCCACCTTCACCGCGGCTTACAAGCCTGAGGATCTGAGGGTGCTGTCAGAATGATGATCTGATGAAATTGGCTTAAACATGCTTAAGCTGTTAGGAGTGGAACAACATGAAGCTTCGGGAGATCAAGCACTGCCGCCTGGCCATGGTCGGCTTCTTCTTCATGGTCCTCAGGAATGCCTCCACAGGCCTGAAGTGCGAGGGGAGGAGTCAAAGCTATTCAAAGCTTGCATGCGCTACTTCTTAGGTGAGGGACCCTCGCTGCTCCCGGACCTGACCACAGCGGAGTTCCAGTCCTCCGTTGGTGATTTCATCCCCAGGGACATCTGAGCCCGTCATCCAAAGAGAGCCTCAAAATTGGCCAGGGGCTGCAATGCGCAGGTAGATGCGGCAAAGCTAGTGCTGCTAGTGATAGTAGGTCCTGACACAGAGTGTCGGGTCATTTTTTGCCCTACGGCCATCTATGCGTTAACACGAGACATCAAAGGCCCCGTGCTTGCAAAAAGCAAACATATCTTCTGCTATGAGGCTGAGGGGTGCTAGAGACATTTCAGTTGGCGTAATCACTTGCCTTTAATAAATAGAAGTTGCAATGACTAAATACTTTTGATTCTATGATCGTAGCTGAGAATAATGACGGAAATTACCGTCAGCAACAACAGGAATGCTGTTCAGCGGGGGTCAAGAGATGAAGGACATGTGTGCAGGTGGGTTTCTCTGCTGCGCCCCCACAGCCGCGTTCCTAGCGCAGGGCGCGTTGAATGAATAGCTGGAGTGCTAAGTTTCCGAACCCCTCGCTGTGACAACATTTGGGCTTATATGATCAAGTTGTCATTCCAGAGGTTCCCTGGCTGTCTTGATTGACGGGGACAACGTGTCGCCATCCTCTCTGGGATCCATCATGCAGGCCTAGCCTTTGCCTCATATCCTGCTTGTGAACAGAAACAGTCGATGCAGGGTCAGGCTGGTTCAGGCATGCTGCAGACTGTGCAGATAACAGCATAATTCTTTTGGCATTCGTGGCAAACTCAACTCCAACGGCTTTGAACGGCCTGCCAGGCGGCCCGGTTGGCAGGTGATATCCGCTACAGCCGCCTCCTTGGCATGCAGAGGAAATCTCTCGCTTGATTCATGTGAGACGATTCTTCATCATGTCCCGACCTGAGGTCGCATCTACCTCAACGAGCACAAGGCAGGATGCTTTGTCCCACTTCTAGCCGATGCCTTAGCCATTTAATGGGCAGGCTATGTTGTGGAAAGACCGTCTAGCAGAGCAAGGCCTGCTTGCCTGCCTTCCTGGATTACGCGGTTCGTCGAAAATGCATCCGCCTTCTCTGTGCAAGGCATTGAAGCCGTTGTGGTGCCGCAGCTTTCATCTGGGCTAAAGGCGCCGCTTTTGGTTGCGAGGGAGCGTGAATGCCATGCCTATAGTCTGGCACTAGGACCCGGCAGACATCATGCTGGCCATAGATGCAGTGGAGGAGTGCCTGAGAGGCTGGGAGCTTGCTGAGGCATTGCCCAAAAAAGATGCTGAAAGGCAAAGACACGGCAACAAAACAGGGTGAAACCTTTTGCAAAGACATAGAATACAATGGAACCTACAGGGATTATAGGGATTATATAGGGGTATATTAATACAATTGGGTAATAACATTGAAAAGCAAAAAGCAAAAGCAGGAACTGCCTCGGTCATCGCCGTTGCCTCTGAGGCGGAGCGGGAACCCAAAAAAGCCGGAATAATTTTGACAAAGGTAAAAGGGAAAAAATATGACTTTTCCGTTGTAAATCCATCCCTTCTCTTCTTGGCTGTGCAATTTCAACAGGGTAGTGACGATGGCGAATTCAAGTTGAGATGTTTCTTGAAGCCACGCCTTTCTTGGCAAAAAACCACATCCCCCCCTCTTCGCGTTGTGACTGACAGGAAATGAACAACAGTGGATGGAGGTAATCTGGCACCACCTTAACTCCCTA